CCCCGACAGCACAGGGAGGCCCCAGCAGACCCCACCCGCGACCACCGCCACCCGCACAGCCCCCGGCGGCAATGCCCCCGGACCCGGCCGCGGCCCCACCAGGAAGGCGGGGGGGGCGAGGAGGGGGAGGAGACCAGGAGACCAGAAGAGGGCAGAGAGGGAGACCGCACCAGGCGCAGCGGAGCCACCCCCCCCAGCCACAACCCGACCCCGCACCCACCACGACCAGCAGCCTCAGACCCCTCCCCCCTCCCCCAGTCATCCGTCCATTCATCAATCATTCCATCCATACGCCCATTCATACTCGAAGGGCGGTCAGTCAACGTCCAGTGGACCCGCGCCCACCCGGGGATCCCACGAGCCCGCGCTGACGGAGGGCATATAACCACCCCGGACGGGAGACAGAGATGGTCGCCCACCCACTGCCCATCATCTGCCCCCAGTTGGAGTGTAGTGTATGTGTTTGTGTATATGTTGAAGAGATAAGTTGCATTAAAACTGGGGAGTGATGTCCTGGAGCGTCACCGTTGGTTGACAGCTGACGTCCAGGCACCACCCCCCATTCCCTGCGTGTCTAATATGTATGTAAAATAGGAGGGCCCTCATCTCCGCCCTAAAATTTTGGGGGGGCCACAAATCTGCAGCCCCACCCATCAGATGTGGACGGAGAGACTAGCCCTCCAATCCTAAATGTAGTGTGTCCTTGCAAGTGATATTTGGGGTACCGGGGGGGAGACCGGCCCCTGAAGCGGGTCAGTGCCAGATGGTATTGGTCCTCTGACCGCTCCAGGAGGCAGGCCCCTCTCCAGTGCCCTGGAGATGTTGAGTGTCTAACTGAATTAAAACTGGGGGTCCCCTGGCCTGGAGTATGCCGGGGGGGGGGCTGATCCGTGATAGGCCGACCCCCCCCAATCCCCCACAGAGACTGAGACCCCCGGGATCCTATGTGTGGGGGTGGAAGAAATGTACCAAGAGCCGATGTGGGCACCATGCCGACGAGCCGACCGCCCCCCACCCAGGGGTGGCACCGCCCCCCGTCCCGGGGGACACGGTAGAGTCACCAAGGGGGAGACGCGGGAAACCAGGCGGCAGCTGCCCCCCTTCGGATCCCATCCATACTCATTCGTTCATACTCATCCACCCACCCCTATGCCCACACATACACACGCATTCACCCAAACACACCCCCCTCTACATGCACACTCACTCACACACACACGCACGCGCACACACACACACACACCCATACACATCCAAGAACTGCTGGTCGCGTGTGCACAGAGTCAGCAGTACCTGAGTAGGAGACCCCGCCACACCCAGCGCGGACAACCCCCACAGCCCCCAACCGGTCCCCGAGCCACCACCCACCACCACCCCCCCAACCCCCACCCGGCGGGCCCCGGCCGCAGCACGGGCGCGGACAGGCCCACCACCAGGCAGCTGCAAAGGCAGCGGCACCCGCGAGCACGGACCCCAGAGGCCCCCACACACCGCCCAAGAGGCCAATCCGGCTACACTGAGCACACCACGAACCCCCCTACCCCCCCCCCCCTCACCGGCGCGGGCACAGCTCCTACCCCCCGGACCACAGAGCCCCCCGTCCCCGCAGGAGCAGCCGGCACCCGGCGAGGCAAGAGCAGTAGCACCCCCGGAGACGGGTCCACAAACTACATGTCATCCCAGAGGAGAGGGCAGTCCCACCTGAAGCACACCCATCCGAGAGCAGGAACCGGTGATCTGTTCAGATCCTCTAACTAAAATTCAGAGGAATAGGGGCATTAATAAGAAGTGACAAAAAAAAACTATTTATGTGAAGGCAGACAACATTTCCGGGGTGAGATAGTTTAATAACATGTTGTTATATTGAGTGATGCTTAGTTTCTTTTTCGTTTTCCAGTTCATAAGAATGTTTTTTTTTGCTACAAGCATAACAGTGAGAATTAATAGTGATGTGTTAGCCTCGAGTTCTAACCGTGTACTGTCTAGGTCACCCAATAAGCACAGTGCTGGAGTTGGTAAAATGAGGTGGTTAACCCATGATGTTAGCTGACAGCAGACTTATTGCCAGAATTTTTGCACTGGTGTACAGGACCAAAGAGCATGTAGATAGTGGTCAACTGTATTGTTAGTGCAGTGTTGGCAAATGTTAGTGTCTGAGAGACCCATCTGGAACAATCTTTGACCTGTGTAGTGAGTTCGGTCAAGTATTTTATACTGTATTAGTTGCAAATTTGGGTTTGTAGATGCTTTAAATGTGTTTAAGCATATCCGGTTCCAGAATGGTTGATTTCCATTTACAGATAACTCTTCGTTCCATTTAGTGGTGGGGAGACATACAATATTGTCTGTTTTTAACAGTAATTTATAGATTTTGGATATTAACCTCGGGGTTGTCAACCCAATAAATTGTTCAATTACTGTGGGTAGCTGCAGAGTCATGTGTTTTTTGCATGTTGAAAGAATGATAGATTTGAGCTGTTGATATTCTAAAAATTTGTTAGTTGGTAATCCGTGTTTAAGAACCAAATCTTCAAATGAAATTATTTTGTTGTTGACAATTATATGTCTAAAATGTGTTATTCCATTATTTTGCCAATTTGGAAAATATACTGCCCCTTTGTTTAGTAAGAAGTCTGGGTTGTTCCAAATTGGTGTGTGCTGGCAAGGAGCAAGCGGTGAGCCCGTTATCTTAAGAAATTCCCACCAGGCTGTCAGTGAAGTACGTATGCTGATATTCTGAAAGCAGTTGTGATGTTTAATCTTAGAGCTTATAAACGGTAAATCTGCTATCTTAATTTCTTTGCAAAATGTCTGTTCAATGTCGAGCCAGGTGAGTTCAGTCGAATTAGAATTAATCCATTGGTACAAGTGCAGCACTCTATGGCATAGGAAATAATGGTATACGTTTGGGAGCTCCAGGCCACCGCAGTCTTTGGATTTCCTAAGCTTGTGTAAGCTAATGCGTGGAGGTTTGCCTTTCCATAGAAATCTGGAGAAATGAGAGTCCAATGATTTGAACCAATCCCGGGACGGCTGGTTAGGAATCATTGATAACAGATAATTAATTCTGGGCATGACCATCATTTTAATGCTGGCAACCCTTCCCATAAGTGAAATTGGTAAGTGTTGCCATCTTTTGAGGTCATCCTCTATTCTTTTAAGAAGTGGTGAGTAATTTAGTTGTACCAGATCCGACAGCCTCGGTGAGAATTCAATGCCAAGATATTTAATATTCCCCGAATTAAAAGTAATGGAGAAGGAAGGGTTCTGAAGAACTGTGTTGAGTGGCATAACTGTTGATTTCCCCCAGTTTACAGAGTATTCAGAGACAGCTGAAAATGATTCAATAACAGTAATAGCTGCTGGAAGAGAGAGATGTGGATGAAGGAGAAATAATAACACATCATCTGCATAAAGACTTATTTTGTGATGTATATTTTTGTACTTATTCCAGTAATTTTAATGTTTTGCCTAATTGCTTGCGCCAGTGGTTCAATGAAAATAGCAAATAGTGAGGGAGAGAGTGGGCAGCCTTGTCTGGTTCCTCTTTGAAGGTTAAATCTAGATGAAGTTTGTTCATTTGTTCTAACTGACGCATTCGCAGAGCTATATAGAATTTGGATCCATTCTATAAAAGAGTTACCGAATCCAAATTTACGAAGTGTTGCCATTAGAAATTTCCAGTTAACTCTATCAAAAGCTTTTTCTGCATCTAGAGAGATAATGGCAGATTCTAGACTTGTGTTGTTTGCTAGGTCAATCAGGTTAATTAGTCTGTACATGTTATTTGTTGAGTGTCTACCCTTGATAAAACCTGTTTGGTCTGCATGAATAATATGAGGGGTAATTTTTTCCAGCTTTTTTGCGATAGCTTTGCAAATTATTTTTAAGTCTACATTTATAAGAGAAATTGGTCTATAGCTTGATGGCAGTGTGGGGTCCTTCCCTGGTTTTAGGAGTAAACTTATGAAAGCTAAGTTCATGTTTGATGGTATTTTTCCTTCAGACTTAATTTCAACTACCATTCTGCTAAAGGTAGGTTCCAGCACTTGCGGAAACTCTCTGTAGAACTCTGCTGGATAACCATCTGGCCCTGGTGCTTTTTTATTTGGCATTTGTTGTAGAGCCTCGTGGAGTTCTGTAGAAGATATTGGTGATTCTAAATTTCCTATCTGTTCGTTTGATAGTTTTGGTAATTCCAGATTCTTTAAGAATAATTCAATTTCGGTTGGCGATGGGTTAATTTGAGATGTATATAAATTTTTATAAAATTCCCTGAAAGTATTATTAATGTCTTGGGGGTCGTGAACAAGTTGTCCATTTTTGTTAATTACTGATGAGATAGTTTGTTTTTCCTTGTTATTTTTTAGTAGACCTGCTAAAATCTTGCCACACCTGTTAGCATGTTTGAGGTTATCCAGCCGTAGTCTTTCGATTTGAAATTGAGTTTTTTTTATTGATTAGGATATTCAGTTCTAATTTAGTTTGCCTTAAATCTTTCAGGATGTTTTCTTGGGGGTTGTCTGTATAAGCAGTTTCGAGGGATTTAATTTTTAATTCTAATTCTTGCTCTTTCCTAGTTTCTTGTTTTTTCTTAAATGATGAGAATGAAATTATTCTACCTCGCATTACTACTTTTGCAGTCTCCCATAAAACACACGCTAAAATTCCTGGGGTGTCATTAATTTCCATAAAGGTTTCCCATTCTTTTTTAAAATAATTTATAAATTCCTGGTCTTTAAGCATTGATGTGTTAAGTCTCCAGTTTCTCCTAGGTTGTGAAACATTTGTGGTTACAGTGTTGGTTTCCGTAGTGTATTGTTTATCACGTTTGCCTAACACGCAAAAGGTCCCCAGTTCGAAACTGGGCAGAGACAACAAGAAGGAACTTTTTCTGAAAATCTACTGTGGTATTTTGTTTTTGGACATTAAGGATTTTAACTTTTGTGTTATTTTATCCAAAATGATTGAGAAAAATGTAGAAAGATACAACAGTGTAGGTTTCCGTGGTGTAGTGGTCATCGTTTGCCTCTCCTGCCTTAAAAGGTCCCCAGTTCGAAACTGGGCGGAAACAATAAGAAGAAACTTTTTCTGAAAATCTACTGTGGTATTTGTTGTTTTTGGACATTAAGGAATTTAACTTTTGTGTTATTTTATCCAAAATGATCAAAAAATATATGAAAATTACAACAGTGTAGGTTTCCGTAGTGTAGTGGTTATCACGTATGTATGGTCATCGTTTATATGCAAAAGGTCCCCAGATCGAAACTGGGTGGAAACAACAAGAAAGAACTTTTTCTGAAAATCTACTGTGGTATTTTGTTTTTGGACATTAAGAATTTTAACTTTTGTGTTATTTTATCCAAAATGATAGAAAAAAATGTGAAAATTACAACAGTGTAGGTTTCTGTAGTGTAGTGGTCATCACGTTTGCCTAACATGCAATAGGTCCCCAGTTCGAAACTGGGTGGAAACAACAAGAAGGAACTTTTTCTGAAAATCTACTGTGGTATTTTGTTTTTGGACATTAAGGAATTTAACTTAACTTTTGTGTTATTTTATCCAAAATGATAGAAAAAAATGTGAAAATTACAACAGTGTAGGATTCTGTAGTGTAGTGGTTATCATGTTTGCCTAACACGCAAAAGGTCCCCAGTTCGAAACTGGGCGGAAACAGCAAGAAGGAACTTTTTCTGAAAATCTACTGTGGTATTTTGTTTTTGGACATTAAGGAATTTAACTTTTGTGTTATTTTATCCAAAATTATTTGAAAAAAATGTGAAAATTACAAATGCGTAAGTTTCCGTAGTGTAGTGGTCATCATGTTTGCCTAACACGCAAAAGGTCCTCAGTTCGAAACTGGGCGGAAACAACAACAACAAGAAGGAACTTTTTCTGAAAATCTACTGTGGTATTTTGTTTTTGGACATTAAGGAAAATATGAAAATAAGAACAGTGTAGGTTTCCGTAGTGTAGTGGTTATCATGTTTGCCTAAAATGCAATAGGTCCCCAGTTAGAAACTGGGCGGAAACAACATGAAGGAGCTCTTTCTGAAAATCTACTGTGGTATTTTATTTTTGGACATTAAGGAATTTAACTTTTGTGTTATTTTATCCAAAATGATTTGAAAAAAATGTGAAAATTACAACAGTGTAGGTTTCCGTAGTGTAGTGGTCATCACGTTT